ATAGAAAAAGAATTTGCTGAATGTGCCTTAAGTATTATAATTTAAGGTTAGTAAAAAATTTGAAAGAGAAAATTTACTATTAAAAGAACATCTGAATTGTTTAAAAAATATCAGAAAGAAATCTTTGAAATATATAAGATGGCTTTCTGAGTACTATGAAGTCCAAGATTCTTTGATCGTGCTCCAATTAAGTTATATCCTCACCACTGAATATCCCCATCACACAGATACTTTCTAAAAAAGTCAAAGTTAATTTCTTCTGGTAACTGATAGGATCACAGTCACTGGAAGTAAATACAAGAGAGAAAAGAAATATAATTAAACATTAAATGGAAGACAAATGTATCAAAGTATTAAATATAAAAATATTAAATAGCACAGATTTAGGTATGGTCATATATCACCTTTTTTGAAGGTTTAGAATATAGTTTCCTAGCAAGCTATCAAAGATACAAAACATAGGTACTTAGATGATTTTGACCAACTGCATAGAATTATTTGATACACATATCAACTATTGGGTCTTACAACAAAAACCACCATAGGACAAACTTGAAAAAACTTTCAAGTCTGGGCTGAGATAAATGAGCTCAAATAAATGAGGGGAAAAAAAAAAAAAAAAAAAACAACCAAGAACACAGTAACAAACTGCCCTTAAAAAGAATGTTGTTTATTTATTCTGTAAATATTGGTAAGTGCCTCAATTAAACAATCTTGTATCTCTTGTGTCTGGAATAAAATACTAATGTTTTGTAGTCACTTCAATAATAAAGTCTCCACTTTAATAAAAAGACATGATTTCCTGGTTAATTATCCAAATAAATATACTTAGTTATAAAGACATATTTTTAATCAAAATCATATTAATCTCCAAAATCTGCCATTTCTCAAGATATTCACAAGAACAGAATACAGACTAAAAAGGTGATTTCAAAGGAAGTATTATAAAGTTTTGAACAACTACAGAATTAATACTTACATGAATGCTACAAATATTTACAATATTCGTCTCAAAATGCACTAGATACCTCTTTCTGCCAAACTAAATGAAAATTAACTCCATATTTGACAGTTATACAATTACAATGTTTTTAATTTTTTAAATACAACTTATAGATTAAAACTTTGGTGCTTATATCTACGTGAAAACAATGAACTGGTACTCAACCTTCCCTCCAAACTCTAGGATCGTCTCCTAAACTGCAGAAGACAGAGAGTTAAAAACCCTATTCCCAGACTCCCTTGTAGCTGAGGTTCTCCATGTGACTGGTGAGGTTCCGGAGGTGTCAGTCAAGAGTATATGCATGAGATTTGGAAAGAAAAAGTTAAGGCAGCAATGGGGCACAGGCCATCACTATTCCACCCACTTACTGTTTTGGAGGGTGTTTGAGAGTTAGGGCATAAATTTATTTAATCTACAGGAATAATGTACCTCTAAAGCCATTAGCTTGGGACTTGTGCTTACAGTTACTAAGGACTAGATAAGAGTTGAGGGATGGGAGGAGATCTTCCTAAAAACATTAAATGGTAAAAATACAGGAGAGAATTATCAGCCAAAATCCAAAAGATGAAAACACAAAGATGTAAACCCAACAATCAACACCATTTTTGCTCTAAAGGCATTTGCCTCTCCAGGAAAAAACACTATGAATCTAAGCTATATTTTTGGTGGCATCAGAATTTAAAAATATAACCACAAAGATGAGGGACCACCAAAAATGAGAATATTGATATACCACCCCCCCTGTAAGTGGAGGCCATAAAGGAATGCAATCTCAAGAGTAAACTGGAATAAAACCAACCATTTTCTAGAACTGCAGCTGGGCTTTGTATCCCCTTGGGAGTCCAAAGCACCTCACGCTTTGAGTTTAGCTTGCTGTAGTCACAAAATACTAATATTTACAGGCATGTGGCAGAAAAAAATTGAAAATCTCTATAAGAAAGAGTCCATCATCCTAGGTATCAATTTATTAATAAAAACAATTTTTTAAATAACCAACATACAGTCAAAGATAATGAAGTACACAGGAACTAAACATCATAACCAAGAAAGAGTATATACAACAGACAATACAAATAGAAGACTTCAGAAATTATCAGACACATACTCAAAAACAACTAAGCTAATTATTTTCAAAGAAATAAAAGCCAAAGTTAAAAATTTGGATAGAAAATGAGAAAAGATAAAAAGTATTGAATCATATTTTTTAAAGAACCAAATAGAAATTCTAGAACTAAAATAGAAATAAGTGAAATTAGAAACTCAATGGGTGATTAACTAATTAAATATAGCTCAAGAGAAAGTAAGACAGGTCAGAGAAATTATCCAAAAATATGAAAAACATCAAAAGAGGGTTAAAAAACACAAGAGCTATATTAAGGAGATCTAACATAAAAGTTAAGTAAATATATTTATACGAGGGTACTCCAAAAAATTCATGGCAGGATTCATGTTATCTTTTAATTCTATTTTTCCCTAAATTTTTGAAGTATCCTCATACATATACACATAAATATACATATATATATATAGTATTTTTATATTATAAAAAATTACGCACTGCTTACAGAGACACATGTAAAATGTCTGAAAACAGATAAGGCGGAGATTAAACCATGAAGAAAGATATACCACGTAAAAGATAACCAATGACAAAAAAACCAGAAAACTATCTCGAGAGCCCAGACCATAGATTCCCTGCCATGAGAGGAGCGGCAGGATCATTGAAGAAAACCCATGTCAACGTGTCAAGGACACAAGGACTAAAGAAAACAGAAAACACCCCTTCTGGGGCCGGCCCGGTGGCGCACTGGATAAGTGCGCCGCTTGGGAAGCGCGGCGGCGCTCCCGCCCGAGGGTTCGGATCCCACATACAGACCGGTTCCCGCTCACTGGCTGAGCGAGGTGCGGGAGCAACACCAGGGGTTGCGATCCCGTTGCCGGTCCCTGGTCCGGTGCGGGGGCGACACTGAGGGTTGCGATCCGTTGCCGGACACGGAAAAAGACAAAAGACAAAAAAAAAAAAGAAAACACCCCTTCTGCAACCCCCAGCTGGCTAACCCTGCTCCAAAGGGGTCTACCTCTCAGAAAAAGCATGAGCATGAAGATAGACCTTCTGTGAAATACAGGATCAGAGGAAAATCCTAAAGCTATGGATGGAATAGGAATGGAGAAAAACCCTCAGGCAACCCAGTGGTGCATAAAGGATAACCATAGCAACAGAAAAATAAAAAAGCTCTACTCAGCTCATGTCTGCAGTGATTTAACCACCCCTTCCCACCCTTTCTAAAGGCCTAATGGAAGAAGAATTGATCCCATTTTCAGGCATCAGTATGTTTCACCTCAGTCTCTTCTGTCCTATGGTCTGTTAGCCATCAGATCATAATCCCACCGACTCACCCACCCCAGTCATAGGCAACCCCTAACCTGTTTTCTGGCCCTATAGACCACATGTGTTTCCTGAATGCGGTCTGGATTAAATAACATCCCCAAAATTCACGTCCACCCAGAATCTGTGAATGTGACCTTATTTAGAAAGATGATCTTGGCAGATGTAATCAAGTTACAATAAGGTCATACTGGAGTAGGGTGGGCCCTAAATCCAATATGACTGATGTCCTTACAGAAGGAGGGAACTTTAGACACAGAGATATACAGGGAGAAGGCCACGTGACAACTGAGGCAGAGATTGGAGTAGTGCTGCCACAAGCCAAGCTACATCAAGGAGTGTTGGCAACCATCAGAAGCTAGGAGAGAGGCATGGGGCAGATTCTCAGAACTCCAGGAAGGAACCAAGTCTGCTGACACCTCAACTTTGGCCTCATGAAATGTGAGAGAAGAAATTTCTGCTGTGTTAAGTCACCCAGTTAGGATTGATTGTTATGGCAGCCCTAGCAAATTAGTACAAATTCCATAAAACTGGAAGCAAACTAAATATCTATATAAACTGAATAAATAAATAAATTGTGGCATTTTCTTAAAAGAATAATCATCCAGGAGTTATAGAAAACAACATAGCTGAATCTCACAAACATAATGCTGAAAAAAGAAGCCAGGCACAAAAGAATACATACTACACGATCCCATTAATACAAGAGTACATCAAAAAATTCATGGAAAAATGTAACCCATGAACTTTTTGAAGGACCCTAATATAAAGTTAAAAAAAAAAAAAAGACAAAATTAGTTACACTGCTTAGTTTGCTTAGGTGTGCTTAGCTCAAAGGAAGAAAATTCAGTCAGAATAGGAGATAGCTCTAGAGAACATGGAGGGGGAATAATTGGAAAGGAGAAGAAAATGGGGGATGGGGTAAAAAGTGCTGGCATTTTTGTACTTCTAGATCTAGCTAACGTTTACATGGATTTGGGCTTTATGATAATTTGTCGAACTACACATTTGTGTTTCATGTACTTTTCTATATGTATATAGTTCGTAATTTATGCAAAAGAAAAAAACAGAAAAAGGAAGAAAACAAAGCCACCAGTTATAGCATCAGAACTAAGGAAGTATTACCCTAAAGCCAACAGTTCGAGTCAGCCACTTGATTTCCCAACCTCATCATAACTGTGGCAGGGGCGGCAGTTCCTCTGGGAGCCTGGTTGGGAGGTGTAGTTGTGAGAGTCACTCCCAGAAGTTCCTTCTAGGTACCCTTCCTTCTTCCACCCCTTCTGAAGATTTTATAAGCATTTAATCCTTTCTATTTATAATATCTAGAGTAATTTCTCTTAACAGCACATGCACTCTGACAAATACAGTTCATCCAGAAAGGTTTAAACACAAACTGAAGTAGACTTTCCAACATGAAGCATTAGCAGTAACAAAGCAGGAAGGCTAGACACTGACCTAGAAATTAACGGGATACTTACCTGTCATTCCTAACAGATATTTTATGCATAAACATAAAAACTAAATCTTGATTTTTAACTTTTATAAAACAAAAAGGGATGGGTGAGGAAGGGTATAGAGGGATAGAGAGGAATAAAAACCAGTTTTTGTTACCTGAAGTCTCGTATTCATTTCCAAGAAGTAAAAATTCTTTTTGGAGTCCACAAGGAACTCTACGGTTCCAGCAGAGGAATACTTTACTGCTTTGGCGAGAGCTACAGCTTGTTCTCCCATCGCTCTTCGAGTTTCAGCATCCAAAAAAATGCTACAAATACAGAAAGCACTTGTCTACATTTTGAAGAAAACTCAAGCTATCTTTTATGTGTATTATATAAAAATTTTCTTAAACTTTACTCAGACATAGATCATCTATTTCAATTTAAGAGTTCAAAATGTTATATGCTTTATATATGTTTTGTAAGACAGGTTCAGCATCTCTAACCAGAAAATCCGAAATAGAAAATGCTCCAAAATCTGAAGCTTTTTGAGCACCACCATGACACTCAAAGGAAACACTCATCAGAGCATTTAGAATTTCGGATTAGGGATGCTCAACCAGCAAGTATAATGCAAATATTCCAAAATCAAAAAAAAAAAAACATCTAAATCCGAAACACTTATGGTCCAAAGCACTCGGCTATGGGATCTCAACCCATATATGTTTATTGTATTATTAAGTATAAAATGCTTAAATAAATCAACTTCAGATTTTTGTAAAACTAACATTTGAACTTTTCAGATTATACTGCAACTTCAATCCATTTATAAAACATACAAATACTTTTCAACTAGTAAAATTTAACATATATGAGGGTACTTCCAAAAGTTTATGGAAAAATAAAATTAAAAGTTAATACAAATCTTCCCATGAACTTTCTGAAGACCCCGTGTATATTCAGAATTGTTCCAAGCTAAAACTGGGAGAAAAATAAATTCTTAGAAACTAATACAGGCAATCCTCCTTATTCATGGATTCCATATTTGCAAATTTGCCTACTTGCTAAAATGTATTTGTAACTCTAAAATCAATACTTGCAGCACTGTTGTGGCCACTCATGAACAAGTACAAGGAGGTGAAAACCCTGAGACTCCAGTAAGCTGAGGCTGAGCACAGAGACACTCTGCCTTCTTGTTCCATGCGCATATTGAACAAGTATCCTGGCCAGGGTCTGCTTAGTGCCATCATGTTTTTTGCATTTTTTGTGTCTTTTTAGCAGGAGAGATTTAACTGTTTAAAATGGTCCCCAAGCATCATGCTTAAGTGCTGGCTGGTGTTCCTAAGTGCAAAGCGGCTGTGTGTGCCAAGCTTGGTTCAGGCATGCATTATGTCCTGTAGGCTGCGGTTGTGAATTCATTACTAATAAATCAACAATAGATATTAAATAAGGTGCCTTTCAACAGAAACATCCATAAAACAAGGTTATCTCTACACTTCCCTTAGGAGCAATAGTTCAGTATTCACTAATACAGCGATCACAGTGCCTTTAGAGAACATGACTGCCACAAATAACAAGAATCAACTATACATCCAGTAAATCCTAAAACTTGTTTCAAAACACCAAAATCACCTTCCAGCAGGCAAGTAAAGTTAAAATGTTCTCAATGAACCCTGAAAAAAATAACAGCAAATCATTTCTGCATTTTCACAGATTTCGCTTCTTTGCAAGAAAGGCTCTGAAAAAACAAAACATTAACTACTTTTCTACTTGTGGATTAAAATTATTCTCAAATGAGTAAGATTTAGATGACATGTAAAATTTTTCTACACAGCAGTATAATGAACTTGCATATATCTGTCTCTAATATGCAACAATTAATTAACAGAGCCACTCTTGATTTATCTATGCTACGTGTGCACTTTTCTCCCAGACCCAACCCATTTTCTTTCTTTTAATTTTAAAGCAAATCCCAAATTAGGTATCATTTCATCTGTAAGACTTCCATCTCTTTTTCTATAAGTACTCTTTAGTATTCACACTTAAAAAAATAACAAGAACTCCTTTATAGCATTTAATATCCAGTTAATATTCAAATTTCACTGATTACCTCATAAATCTATTTTTACAGCCAATTTCTTTGAATCAGTCCCGGCACTGCATTTGATTGGTTTTTATATCTTAAGATTCTTTCCATCTGTACTGCCCCTCACCATTTTTTACCCCAAGACCTGGTCATTTTCTTCACATTCTTGGTTTTGCAGCATGCAACCTCATAGTGTCTTTTAACATTCATATTATATTTCTATTTTGTATAAACTGCTAGTTAGATCTGGAGCCTTGATTAGATTCAAGTTGGACTGTGGTGGGGGTGGGGGCAAGAATACTTCACAGATGCGAAGTGTACTTCTTACTGTCTCCCTTACAGTGATGCTAGGATTAATCGATGGGTTCAGGTGTTATAAATCTTATTTACCTATTATAAATAGTCCTGCATTAACTTAATGGATATATATGTAGATGACATTTCAACAATATCTGGCTGACAAAACTAATGCAACCAAAAGAAGAAAACCTAACTAAAGATTAATGTCACAATATGTTGGAGGATCTCAGTGCATTTGAGTAAAACTATTTTTGCCCTGCTTGGTCTTGTCCTTCCACTTATCATAAACCTTGTTAGTGATACTCGGAGGTATGAGCAACCTTTACCATTGCCCTCAAAGCACAAGGAAACATTCTTCCTCTAGGAACTGAATACTACATATTCCATTTTGTTTTAAAACTACACATTTTCATTTATTTTACATATTAATATTTATTTTAATATTTCACAGTGCACAAATACATAACAAGTCAACTATTAATGATCAGTTCTAGTTTTTTTATCTTGATTTGATTCCTACTACTTCAAAATTTCCTTTTTTCTAAATTGAGATGTTCACATAAAAAAAACAACATTTGTAAACAGAGAGAAGAAACAAATAAAAATCATGCCTCAAGGTTCCCAGTCTGTGAAAAATTTCTATCCCAGGTAAGACTTGAGTAGGTTTTGAATAAAAAGAGAGTTAATTGAATTGAAAGTGATAAGGCAGGCAAGAAAACACAAAACTGCAAAAGAAGTTTGTCAGAGACTACTACTTTTCCACCAGCACCCTTTCTCCCCTTGTCTCACCTTTTCTCCCCTTGTCTCTAGAATTTTAGCTGACTATGTGGTTGTTTTAGGAAAAAAGACATTTCCAAGCTAAGTGCCCAACTTTAGATCAACACCAAGTATTCAACGCTGGCAGCTTCGGGAGCCTTCCTAAAGACACAGGCAGAGCATTCCCTTTGCCTTTTCTTCTTCCTTCCTCCTCATATTCTGGCCCCAGGCCATGAGACAGAGGGCCACATCCCACGTGGGCTACAACAGGCAGTTCTTCATAGCATTGTGGCTGGTTTCTAAGCGTACACCTTTCAAGAGACAGGAAGTGGAAGCTGGCCGTTTCATAAGGCCTGGGCCAGAAACTGGTACAGCACCACTTCTACGTATGCTATTGATCAGGCAGTCACAGACCACAGAATCAAGGGGAGAGGACCCAGATTCTTCCCCTCACTGCTCAATGAGAGAAGTGTCAAAGGATATGGGGAACATGTTTTAAAACTATTATACCATACAATATTTTTAAAAACTAATATGCAAGGATACTTCAAAAAGTTCATGGAGAGATTTGTATTATCTTTCAATTCTATTTTTCCATGAAATTTTGTAAGTACCTAGTAACTAAAATTGGGTTTAATTTTTACCATTATCCTGTGATTAAAAATTCACTCATATTCACACTTATTCTTTTCAGAAATTATACCCACATTATATATCAAGATATTCTAGCTATGCTGATTCTTGGCTGTATTTCTTAGTGCCTGGTAATTAAAATTAACTATATCCACCCAAATGGGGATTTTTAAGAAGAGACAGAATACCAGAGTATATACAAATACCAACCTAGCATAAAATTAGAAATGCAGCTCCATGAAATCGCTACACCAAACACATGAAAGGTGGCCCACAGAAGCAGCCAAAGTGACTCTGATAAGTCAAGAAATTTCCAAGAACCATGCCCCAGAAGCTCTTTCATGGCAGGATAAATTCATGATCAACTTTATGAAACTTTTGCCAACATGAGAGCCTAGAAGGCATATATTGCAGAAATTCTATGAAAAACCAATAGATTCTATACTACCTGGAAGCCTGTAGAAGTCACAGTTGGCTGTCTACTCAACTTTCTCCTCTAATAAAATTCCATTTCTTTTGCAAGTATTCTCTCACTTTTATGCACTAAAGGTACTGAGGAAGATCAAGAGACAAATTCTTAATCATAAAAAAACAAGTATGCATTAATAGAGTCTACATAAATATTAAAGCAATTTTAGCCAATAAAATGAAAAAGAAATATTAAAAAGTACATAAAAGCAGCCTGTTCTATAAATGTTCATTGGGAAAGTCTTACCTTGGTGCTTCCTCTACCACTTTCTGATTTCTTCTCTGAATTGAGCACTCTCTTTCATTAAGCCACAAAGCATTCCCGTGTTTATCACCTAAAACCTGAAACAGCAATGCCATTTGAGAAAACACATAGCCACACCCATAGAGTACATGCCCAGTTAACATTTGCAAACTCAGTATCTCTTGGTTTTTAATATTCAAATCTCATAGAACATATGTACCTCTCAAACCATTCTTTTGGTTGATATTAATAGAAAAAAACTTTATATTTACAACCCCAAAACTAAGTAAAACATTTTCATCAAAAAGATTTTAGAGGGCCGGCCCGGTGGCGCACTGCGCTAGTGCGCCGCTTGTGAAGCGCGGCTGCGCTCCCGCCGAGGGTTCGGATCCCACATACAGACCGGTTCCCGCTCACTGGCTGAGCGAGGCGCGGGAGCAATACCGAGGGTTGCGATCCCGTTGCCGGTCCCGGTCCGGTACGGGGGCGACACTGAGGGTTGCGATCCGTTGCCGGACACAGAAAAAAGACAAAAAAAAAAAGATTTTAGAAAAATATTCTCATGTTACATTTCAAATACAGTGAATAAAACATCAGAATCAATTGTACAAATTTTGTGAAGGACACAGTGTCAATAAAGGGAATATATGTTCTGAATGTCAATGGTGCTTAGGACAGCCACCACAGAGTTATTACAATACATCTGTTTATTGTTAACATTATTAAATGTTTGTTGATCAGGAAATGATACTTTATGCTTTTACATCCAATATGTAGTCTGTTCTTTATATACGAATATCTTTACTATGGTTTATTTTGTTACAGGAAACTAGTAAAAGGTCTGGGGTTAATGTATAACACATTATGATATTTCCCATTTGAAATAATAGGAAATAAGCTGGGATTGCCAGATAAAATATAAGACACCCAGTTTAAATTTGAATTTCTTATAAACAATGAATAAATTTTTAGTAAAATTATTAGTTGAATAATTTTTTAATAAAAAGTATGAATGGGACATACTTTTATTTTAAAAAAAAATAGTGTTTATCCGGAATTCAAATGTAACATGTATCTTTATCAGCTAAATCTGGAAACTCCAAAACAGGTTCTTCATTAATGTTTTTGTCTAGAATGTCTGACTTTCAGAAATGGATTAATTGATTTTCAGGATTAAGGAGATGTATATTTTTAAATGCATATGTTAGGATCACAGAGGTAAGACCTGCTTTAGAATCCAAAAGATTGGACATTAATTTTAGCTCCAAATAGCTATGCAACCCCCTGGACAAATCATTCTGTTTCTTCATGCTTTATAAATAGCAGATAATGTCATCTAAATATTTTATATGGCTGCTGAAAAAAATCAAATCAAAAAAGACCATGGTTATAGCAGGTATAGTAAGCTACAAAATGAATAGTTAACATATGACTGCAAAGTTAATTTTTATGAATAAAACCTATCTAAAATTCAAGAATGAATCCAAGCAATGAAGGAAAATACTAAGGAAATGCCAATAAGTTAGAATCTTACTCCTAAGATTCAAAGGTGGCTACATGAAATAAATCTAAAATATTTTAAATCATTATAATAACTCTCAACCTCTTTTTTTTATTCTGATTGATAAGGAAGCGAAAGTAGCATTTCTTAGTGTCTAAGAAATAAAGCTAACATAACCAAGAATTCTCAGAAGTATTTCCAATTATAAAATATTAGATTCATATATAGAATAACAGTTTTTCTCTAAATTATGTATAGTCTCCCAGTTCAGTTTACAAAGTTCTGTGCATTTAGTAGGCATTCAACTAAAGGGACTTGATGATGATTTATTCCATTTAATAAATGAGGGGCTAAGTAACCAGAAAATATTATGAATAAAAGGACTTGTTAATCCTTAAATGCATTATGAGTTTTTTTAAACTTTTAATATAGCCCTTTACCGAAGTACCTGTACTAAATATGGAAAAATCCCCAAGCTATACTGTTTCCTGAAAAAAAGCTTCATTATGATAGACTGCTCCATATAATTCAAGCCCATTAGCATTCCCGGACCCAGCCCAGAAAATGCCAGTGGTCCCTGGCTGAGAAACACTGATTTAAGCCACACAGAGTAGTGCCATTCACAGTGCCAGCACAGTTTCAGTATGGGAAAGGATGAAGTACATGACAGCTCATGTAAAAAAAAATAACAGGCGATAAACATATTTATTTCATAGACTACATATGGATGGATATTCAAGAAACAGTAACAATGCTCACATCCAGGGATAGAAATCAGGGGACGTGGATACAGGGTAAAAGGGTTATTTACTTTTTGCTGAAAATACCCTTTGTTGTGTGCACAAATACCTAATATAAATAAATAAATGAAAGCTGAAGAAAAAAAGGTAAATTTTAAAACGTTCCAAGTATAGTTCTGATATGGGAAACATTTGTGTTGCATTTTCAGCTATGTTTAAAAATACCACCCAGATTGTATGCCATGGCAAATAAAAATAAACCAGAAAGCTGACACAGATATATAATTAACACAAACTAACAAACATTTATTGAGTATTAGTACTGTGAAAGACAATGGGCTGGTTTCTGGGGATAACAAATGAATAAGACCTAGTCTCCACCTTCAAGGATCTTGTGATCTATCAGGAAACTCAGATATCTAAAGATAAAATAGCATAAGTGATTTCCAGTGTGGAAAAAGTGCTAGGTGGGGGATTATAGTGAAGAAAAAATTTAATTCTGCTCCTAGGATCTTACAGAAAACACAACCCTAACACTTTCCCTAAATTACAGACTTAAAAATCCAACCGAGACTGGCCGGTTAGCTCAGTTGGTTACAGCATGGTGCTGATAACTCCAAGGTCCAGGGTTCCATCCCTGCACTGGCCAGCTGCAAAAAAAAAAAAAAAAAAAAAAAAGTCCAACTACCCACTCAACACCTACACTTTGATATCTAATGGGCATCTCAACCTTGATTTCTCCAACTTATAACCTGTTTTTTCTCCCAAAATATGCATTTCCCACTATCTTTCCCATCTCAGTAAAAAGACAGTCCCATTCTTCCAATTTCTCAGGCCAAAACCCTAAAGTCATCTTTGATGCCTTATTTTTCTCTTATACATCACATCTTCCTTCACAATATATCCAGAATTCAATCATGCCTCACCATCTCTACTGCCAACACACTGGCCCAAGCCAACATCATTTCTTGCCAGAATTACTGCAAGAACCTCCTAAGGGATCTCTCAGCTTCAATTCCTGGCTTTCAGTTGCTAAGAACCAGTGACTACTGTGTGCCTCCCTTTTACAACCTTGGTGAATGGGGGGATTTATTGCAGTGTCATATCCTTTTCTCATCATTGTTTGTTGGATAAGTGGGTGTCAGACTGTCCTTAAATTCAGAGGTCCTTGCAGCAGCAGAACTGTTCTTAAGCAATCATACACAAGAAGTCTCACCCAGACCTGGACCAAATTTGAAGGGAGACCCTGGTCTCGGAAGGAAGGTGGGTATATTGTTTACGGAAGGATATGATCATTGGGGGCCCAAGAATGAGTTGTGGTAGCTTCTATCCCAATATGTTCCCCCAGACAACACAAATCCTGATATTCCCACCCTTGTATAATCCCAAACAGCAAGGATTCTAGGCTGGCCAAGTAGCTTGAAAAATTTGACAAAAGTCATTCTGTACCAGTTCTGAGCCTAAACCTTAAAAAGGCAGGACAGCTATTTCAAGTATCTCTGACCAGTGACTTAAGAATTCTGAAAATCCTTGTAGAAATGCCACATGGAGAAGCAATGTGGATGCCCCAACTTCATAGCAAAAGGCCCTACTGTGCCAGCGTCTCAGCTGAGCTCAGTCTTCATGCCATCCCTCCAAGGTACCTGACATCCCACCTTCCAAATCAGTCAAGCTCCAACATGACTGCTGCCCTGAAGAATACTGTGAGAAGAAAAAGAAATGCCCAGATGAACCCAATCAAGCCACAGAATCATGAGAAATACAGTGGACCCTTGAACAACATGGGTTTCAACTGCACGGGTCCACTCACACATTTTTTTCCAATAAATATACTGTATTCGAAAAATTTTGGTTAGGTATGTGATGAATTCATGACATACCTAACCAAAGGGTCAAGTAGCCTACTAACAATAGGCTATGAGTAGTTAACTAGTTAAGTTTGAGAGGAGTCAAAAGTTGCACGCGGAGCCCACTTCATTCCCCAGCCCGTTGGGGCTGCTGCATGAGCCCAAGATGGGGCCCCATTTCCCTGTCGGCCTCATTGCCACCTTTCTTGAACTGGAGTCCTGCCCAGGCAGCTCCATGCTCTGCCCTGGGGCTTGGGAGGTGACCTCTGTGGGTTCCATATAGCCTGAGAGCCCACCAATCTTGACCCTACACCTGCCCCTTAGGGGCAACTTCTAGGAGATCGAAGGCCACAGACCTTATTCCCAGTGGTCTGCCAAAGCCTCACACACACTCACAGCGTTGATTCCGAAAGACAGAAAGTATCGCCCCTAACCCTACAACCCACCACCATTCTTGACTCTCACCCCAGGGGGTGGGGTCCTTCCCCACTCTTCCACCCTGCTGCAGTTCTAGACGCCCTGTCTCCACCAATCCCACAAAGCTCAATAAATACTAAGAGATCTGCTGGGAAAAAAAAAAAAGTAATACTCAGATTTTCTACTGTGTGGGGACAGAGGGGTGTTGTTCAATGGTCAACTGTAGTTAAATGTGGTGTGTGTGTGTGTGTGTGCTTTCTTCTTATTGTGGCAAAATAATACAACAACATGAAATTTACCATTTTAACAATTTTTAAGTGTACAGTTCAATGGCATTAAGTACATTCACATTGTGGTGCAGCCTTAAATCTTGTTTTAAATCACTGCATTTTGAGGTAGTTTGTCACTTAGCAAAAGATAACCACAACATAAATAAAATAAAAAAGTAGATTTATTCAAGGTCAAAATACAAAAATCAATTATATTTCTATACATGAGCAACAAACAATAAGTAAATGAAATTCAGAAAATAATGCTTATAATAGCATCAAAATTATCAAATACGTAGAAATAAATCTAATGAAAGATATACA